CCCTCTCGGATTAGCGGCCCAAGTTTACACGAGATGAATAAACAAGCTGTGAGATATCCTATGCACATAAGCAAGCTGTGAGGTATCCTATGCACACCATAGTTGCTCTGGTCTAACATAGCCCCCCCAGATATTGCCCCAGGAGCATGGTCTCTCCACCGTGGATGCGAACACCGGATTTGTGCCTATGGACGCGTCCCAAGGTGAACCCTTCCATCATGAAGGTCTTCATGTCCAGAACATGTACTCCGGACCGATCCGAGACTGGGCGTCCGGAGCCTCTCAGCCAGCCCATATCCCATTCCAGCCTTCGACACCCTCTATGGGCATTCAATACGGCGGCCTGCACCATAGTCAATGGGCCTGCGTCCCTCAGCAGATGCAAAACGACTTTGAACAGGATAGCGGAACCGACGGGGAGCGTTTCGACGAACCCATTGCGTCTGATGTATTGGTGGGAAGCTCACCAAACTATCTATATGGAGCCGAGAGTAACTCTCTATTTTCGTATGGTCTCCCGCCTGATAACAACCCAGTTGCGGTCTACAACTCTTCGACCAGCCCGGCATCGTACGCTCCCGAGACTACAGATCCAAATAGGCTACCGCCTGATCAGGCTTCAGTGTAAGTGAAGGCGACGACGGAATTAAGCAGAGACAAGAGAGGGCTAACATTTGGACTCTTTGCAGTGGCAGTAAACCAAAGTATTATTGGGATGGCATGCTGTATTGCTGCGCTTTTATTCATCCCAAGACCCTAAAGCTATGCTCAAAGCCCTTCCCCCATCCCAAGACCCTAAAACTATGCTCAAAACCCTTCCCTTACTGGGATGCGGTCGTTAGCCATTTCGACGAGTATGTTGTTATGTCTGCGATCAAGGGAATCTCGGAATAACGAATGTGACAGGCACTTACTAAAGCTTACTTGCCCAGTCTGCGATAAACTTCTCAAAAACATACATACCTTTCGAAAGCATTGTAAACTTCACGCCGAGACGGAAATCCTACGCATCAGCGGAGACAGGTGTTTGTAGAGGAAAAGAAGGATCTGGTGGCGAGGACCCGAGTGCAGTATTTTGCTGAGCTGTGAGTTTTGCAAAACAATCACGACAGTAGAACATAGCCTCATGGCACTATGAACCACTTTCACATAACTATGGCAATCTATCCCCCAATTTCAAAATCTCGGATCTCGGCTTTGGAATGTGTATGTTAACATGTACGATTCAGATGTACGATTCAGAGACTGTGTCGCAGCCATTGTACAGGCAGCTTCACGGACCTGATAGGAGGGGCGATGGGAAGTGCAAGTCACGGTTTCGGTAATAGTGGGATAAATGAAATGGGACGGCTTCAGTCCGGCCAAATTGGCAGCTGACTGGCTTGAGTTGGGAAAGTGACCGTTGTGTTATTTGTGAAGCAGTTTTCTGCAATCATCCGGGACGTAAATAACCTCACCCGAATTCAATAATATGAGATCCTGGGTTCGATTGTGTACTTTACCATGCACATGCACCATACACGGGCGGCGACAGCCACTCCCCAGGGAGCCGTTGTGCAGGTCACGCATTCGGCAGTGGTGGGACAAAGTAAGGATCAAGACGCGAATAAGAACGCGCCATTCGGCTAAAGTATGGGCCAGTGTAAATCCGGCCAGATTGGCAACCGACTGGCCCAGGTTTTGGGGAGCAAACAGGGCACTGTGTTATAACTGGCGCACTTTCTTTGTTACCACCCGGGCCGGAATCCGGGCAGGCGTAATTGAGGCGCGGAGCTTGCCGCCCACAAGCAAGGGCAAAACCGGAGGCATGCAGGACAAGGATCACGTTCTGCCGAATCTGGTCCAACCCGCATGCCCGCTACATCAGGTGATGTGGATCAAACACACCCAGCCGGTAACGCGCAAAAGCTTCAAGCAATTTCTCTTCTTCCATCCTAGCCCTGTACGGTACACATTCAACACAACAGCCGCCACCGGTTACCGCACACATGTAGTGGCGTAGAACACGGTTACGTACATACAGTACACGGTTTCGCTTGCTCAAAACAGCCAGCATCTAGCCATCCAGTCGCGTATTGGCGAATAGGCTTTTACCCTGGTAGCTCGGTGAAAGGTAATCGCCTCATTTTGTCGTCAGAGAGCAGTGGTACGTGACATGATCTCGTTACAGGATCTCGGCTTCCATACTCATCAAGTTAGAGCAGACCAACAAGGATCCCTCGCTTGCAGTTCCCTGTGTTAATTTTCTGTCACGGTCCGACGGACGACGGATGCGTGTCCCGGTTCGCACCCGCGTTTCCGTGTGTAGCCTTGCGCGCCTTTCGGATCATCGATACGGGCACGTCTTTTTCCCAACAGGACCTTCGCACCGTTGAGTTATCGATGTTGCAACCCACAGCGCGGCGACGTGCTCGATCCGAACGATCACACCAAAGATGGGGTTACCTCGCCAGCCCACGCAACAGTCCCATGACATTTGAGTGCAGGATTGAACTTGTTGAATATCATTGCAGTGATATTCACACCATGTTTTGCCGCGGGCTAAACCGAAGTGAGACGTCCGCACTTCGTACCGCAACAGCTCGAGACGACAGTGGATGCCACGGCACAACGAGCTGAAGGGCCTTCTAATCCCGCATTCTGGTCGTTCATTCCCTCCTTTCGACTTCGGCCGGACAAATGAACTGATGATGGGCAATTTTGAGCGACGCGCGACACTCTGTCTGACCGAGGATTGGGGCTGCCCTTGCACGCCACTCAACGTTTGCCATTTCTCCGCACAGCCTCACTCAGTCTGATCAATCTAGGCGTTTCGTAGCCAGATTCTGGGAAGCACGTCCTCTGCAAGTTTTTCGGCGTTGTGAGGAAGCAGCCGCCAGTTAGAGGCTGGATAGCTGTCAGATATAACCATGCATAACCAAATGCATAAAGATACAATATTTTTGTGCGAGTAGTGCAGTGGTCATTCTGACAATAGCCTGAGTCAGAGTTTCCCTTTGGAACCGCTTACTCTGTCAACAACCACTTTATCCAAGTCGCACTTGGCCTTGCTCGTGCTCTTGTACCGTCACAGGTTTCCCATCGCCCTCGAGATGGCAGAATGAGAGGCCTATCAATAGCTAGGCTGTAATTAAAGGCGCTATCTTACGCTGCTTTCGCTGCGTCTAGACAAGTGTAGACGTTGTGTGTGGTTGTACAGGGTATTTTGTCTTGCGCTAAAAAGAGCAAAAGTGTACGGCCTGCTGAAGTCTTTCCAGCAGCTCTACTATTTAGTAGCCTATATTCTGCGCGACATTTTGTTATATTAAGCGCTTTTGCTGATAAGTGGCTGCGAATGGTGTGCAATGTTGTAGAGTTCCAGCCAACTTGTCAAAAAGCGCATCCAACAGCCGCTTTCGATATGGCGACAGGAAGGGATTCAGTGTTGACTCGAGGGTAGCTGCGCACGACTGCGTTGTGGTATCACATCGGAAATGCACCCTCCTCTTATCCACACAGACCAATTACTTTACGCGTTACATGAACTACTTCTTTTGATGTAGGATCCACTGCTTCGTGCTCAGGGTTGCAGTGACAGATGCACGCACAGCCCACCATCGGCTGTCATCTCACAGCCTGATGCGGTGGCGCTTGAATCCATGTCCTTGCCATAATCTCCATTAATTCTCAACAACATGCCAAAAGGTGCTTTGGGTTGTAACGCTTGTCGTGGCGGATCCCCAGTCGATGTCAAGCCAGCTACCACCCTCTCCCTCCGTCGACGGATAACCAACACCCCCATGGTTTGACGGCACTCCGCCCCCTCCTTGTCAACTTGGATTTAAGCAACTGGAGTGGAATAAGGACACCGGCCCCGGTAAAGCTCTCGCCCGTCGCGGCAATTGACAACCAGCTGACGAAGCTGTTTGCAAGCCGAGCAACACAAGGGGTTTCGGCGAATACGGATTTTGTCATACGCCGGGGTAAGGCTGGACTGTTGTTCGGTTTTTTTTTTTTTTTTTTTTTTTGAGTCAGCAGCCGTTGTTTAGAAAGACCAGAACCTTTCCACCACCTGGCACTTGCCCTGGTTCCTGAGGCAGTTGGGGGGTCAGGGTGCCCCGTGGAGCTTGCCAGCGTCCAGGTCTTTGATGGGGATCCGAGTGGGTTCCGGAAAGCCAGCGCCAACTTCAAGTGACAACTTCAACTAAAAGTGGCCGGGGATGGATGGTTGAACAGCGCGCGTTGCACATGGAGCAGTCCCTTTAGTCAATCTGTCGCGCCAAGAGGAGAGAGGGGCACGAAAATTCGGTCACCTCCCCCTAACGTGATATGGTGCTCGTGAAGTCGCGGGGAGCTATTCAACAAAGGAAGCCACTCGCGGCGCTGCCATTACACATAGCTACTGTGGGCCCCCACAGCTGGAGCGGTTTCGACCTCCATAACCGAAACGGCCCTAACGGTCCGGACTTGTGGAGGGCGTACACATAAGGACCAGCGGGGTTTTGGATACTAAACTTTGTCTCTTTCTCGATCCTCTCACTCCGGCAAAAAAATCATTTTCCTTAGCACGGGGTTATTATTGGGCAGAGTACGATCAAGACCGAATGTGCCCCACCCCGGCGACTCCAGGGTTGTTTGGCAAGACGTAAGTGCCACAAGTAGTGTGAGCGCGTTGAAAGACGATGTGTTCCAGAAGAAGGCTTCTAGACGGCAGCAACAAGCTGATCTCCTGGGATGAAGTATTTATTAGTTATCCACCGATTTACGTTTCTTTATTTTTATTTTTATTTTTATTTTTTTCGCGGCTTGCAGCCACGGCTCTGTCTTTCGTGCTGTCATTACTTCTCGACCCAGGCGTGATTGGCAGCACCAAGGGGAGTGGTCCTTATTAGCCCCAAGGGCTTAGCGCCACTCACTTCGAGCTGTGAGTTAGAGGTAGAACGCGAGGGTGTGTGATAATGAACAGACAGTGATGATCCACCCACAATCCGCCTTGCTGCACCTGAGCCAGCATGTTGCACTTGTCAAACTTACCGTAAATAGAAAGGGCCGAAGCGGTCATCGAATGTTGTACCGGCCGGAGCGAGAAGAAGTAGTTTTACTACGAAGAAATTGGTAGGAAGAATTGAACAACTCCGTTGCCTGCCGTGGTCCATTGCATCTAACTCTGGGCCTGGGCGACAGCACTTGGAAGGGATCCCGGAACGCTCCGAACTTTTCTGGTCCGGCTGGATCATGAACAGCTACTCCCCGGAAATGCCTGACCGACTCAGCTTCAGTGGGCTCTTTCCCGGCAGGCCTCACATCAACCGAAGGGAGCGACTTTGCCTTCCTTCGCTGTGAGAATGGCAATCAATGCCTGGCGAATCGAATTCTGGTGACGTCCATTATCACAGGTACCAGGCCCACCTGGGCTTGAATGTGCCGGTCAGTTGCCGGGCAGTTGCTGATTTCCGGCGCCATGCCCTTTTGCAACATGTGGGACAGAAATCCGGGCTCTCAACGGGGCAGGGTTTCCAGAGACGAAGTCAGCATCATGCATGCATGCTTCTTGAGGCTCTGCTGTAGAAGAAAAGTAGGCGGCCTTCCGAAACGCACCAGGCCAGGCAGGGATCCCTGCACGTTTGCTTCTCAAGCTGTATCTCGCCGGGTGATCCCTCCTCTCACCTTTGTTGTCAAACTATTCCGAATCTGTTTGAACGACACCAAAGATGCTTCGCGGAAAGTGACCGAACTGCTCAAGTCATAGACCCATGTGGGCATGCATGACTGTGACGTCTAGCGGAACTGACGAATGGGGAGAAAGGCGGACTAGGGCCTTTCTGTTGAGTCTTTCTAGTCATCGATTGTGCAAGGATACCAAGCCCTTCGCTCTCAACATCTCGACGACCATCTCGCCGACCAGTATGCACCACCAACGTGCTACAGGGGACGCTGGAAAAGAGGCTACAGCGCCGGGGCGAAGGATCAAAATACCTCCGTCGCCGAGTTGACGCGAACCGTTACACTATGCCGGACTTCTTCCAGATCCGTGTCGCAGGTCGTCGTGTCTCTCCGACGTCCGTCGATATGTCTCTTGTGGTCTGCCGGCTGTTGGATGGCCTAGGTGCCTGTGGAATTTTGGTGTCTGCCTGTACAGAGCACAGTTCCGGTGAGCCATGGTTCCAAGACCAAACATGCAACGCGCGAGCAGCGCGATATTGAAGTTTGCCCCGGAGTGATGCACGGCCGTCTACCGTCAGAATCAGAATGCAGAATGCAGAATGCCCGGATTGTAACGTCCCAGGATGAGCATGGCCTCGGCGTTTCAATCCAGGTCGACACGCATAGCATTGCCCCCATACTTTTCTCGTTATGAGACTCATTGTTAGCCAAGCTTCTACATCAAAGCATTGTTCTTGTTGTTGTTCGTGCTGCAGCCAGAGTCTGCAGCTCTCTCTTTCATATGAAAAGTTTCCTTTCGTCCGAATCTATTTTCGGCCAAGTTGAATCATGGTAACCGACGTTATGACAACAGGAAATTACACCAAGTTTGCTTGTTATATCAGCGGAGGCAGTTGTATCCGACAACAAGTGTTACGCTGGGTTGTAGTTATTGTAAAGCAATCACGACAGTAGAAAACAGCCTCATGACCCTCTGATTTTTTTTACGCATGCAATCTCTGCCCCGAATTCTTCTTTTCTTTTCTTTTCTTTTCTTTTCTTTTTTTTTTTTTTTTTTAAAAAAAAATTGAGACTCTGGCTTGGAGTGTGTATTTTAACACACACCATACAGGGGAGGTGCAATGTCGCAGCACAGGCAGCGTCACGGACCTGATGATGTCACGCTATGAGACTCATGCTAACTAAGCTTCTTCACAAAACCATTATTCTTGTTGTTCAGAGTGTTGCAGACTGCGTCTGCAGCTCTCTTTTGAATATAAAAAAAACTTCGTTTCGTCCGAATTTAACTTTTGGCCAAGTTTAGTCATGATAGCCGACGCCGTGACAACCAGCTACTACACCAAGCCCTGCGACTTCAGTCTACAGAGGCATTATCCGACAGATGAAGTGGGTAATGGAAACCGCACCTCACGGGTTTGGCAACTGACCGGCTCCGCGCTAGATAAGGATGGTGGACGCTGTGTGATGACCGGCCCGTAGGCAGCATTAACTGGCGCGCGAAACTCGGTGGGCGTAAGCAGGAAGAAATAACCTTGAGACCGGAGGCATCCAGCCGCATACGCCGCAATGTCGAGTGATGTGGATAGCACACACATTCAACGCAACAGCTTCCACGAGTTACGTTCAGTACACATGTGGTGGGGAGCCGGTACGCTCGCAATGCCGCTCGTTAAAAGCAGAGAGTGTCTAGTCATCGGGTTAACGTTGAATGGGCTTTTACCCTGGTAGGGTATCGCGTAATCCACCGTCCGCCATCACAAGGCAGTGGTACGTGGCATGGCCTCGTCACTAGATCTTGGCCCGCCGTAGTCATTGAGTTAGAACAGATTAACACGGATCCCTCGTCTAATATTCCCTGTGTTAACTTCCAGTCGCGGCTCGACGGACGACGGGTGACGACGGGTGGCGCCCGGGTGTTGCCTTGCGCGCCCTTGAGATGATCGATGCGACTACATCATTTCCGCAGCCAAAGTCTCATATGGCCGCACCCAAGGCAAACCTATCACTCAACATCTGCAACCCCACGGTGAGGTGACTTGCTCGACCCGAACAATCACACTAAAGATGGAGATGTCTCCCCAGCGCACACAACAGTGTCTTTGACATTGAGTGCAGAATTGAACTTAATGAAGGGCTCTGCAGCAGTATTAGAATATGGTCTCCCGTAGGCTAAAGCAGATAAGACCTCTGCATTTTGCACATAGATCGTAGCACTTCGTACCGCAACAACTTGAGACGGTGGATGCCGCGGCACAACGAGTTCTATAGGCATACATACTGATATCGTAGATGGGCTGACAAAATATCATCCCTGCAAGGGACCGTCTGATTCTGCATTCTGTTCGTCAATGCCTCCATTCCTTCATTTTCGAACATGACCGGACAAAATGGGCTGATGATGGGTAAATTTGACCGCCGGGCAATACTCTCTGTGTGAAACTGAGGATTAAAGTTGCACTTGCACTCCACTCAACGTGTCTAATTTCCTCGTCCAGTCTCGCCCAGTCTGGACAATTCGAATCGAGTGCACGCTCGGAAACTTTCTCCATAGACAAGCTCGCCTTCATGCGCCAAGGGTGTTCACCACCTCCGCCTTTCGCTGTCTCGCACCCTCCTCCTCTTCCTGCCTCCTCCGCCCCCCCTCGGGCCCTTCCCTCTCCCGCCCTGTCTCTTGTTGTCCTTTCTCTTGCGCTGTCTTCTGTCTCTGGCGAGCCTTCTCCTCCAGACCCTTTAGATACGCCTTGAACTCCTCCCAGATGGTAGAGCCGCGTACGCCTCTCTGCATGCCAAGGGCATCCTCTAGCACGGCATGGCCAATGGGAATTTGCCTTGGTACGTGATCAGCCCATACATCTCACACAAAATACTCCGAATTTAGTATCGGGGAGTAGCCTCAGGACGGAATGGTACCTTTGGGTCGGCGCAGTGTTCTCGTGCTTGCGCGACTCGTCGGCCGCAGTGCTGTCTTCATCACCTGAAAGCAGCAACAATATCGGGCCGGTAAACACGGCAGGTGTGAAGGTGAATGGAGCCTCGTCCACTGGCTGCAACGCATCTGGGGACGACGGTGACTCACCGTCACAATACCCACCACGTGAATTTTCAGATTGCATGATCCCAAAGCCCGGCGTCTGTGTCGAGTGATTCTCCATCATGCAGTGCCCGTGCTATTCGGAGGAACCTTCTTTATACAGTACCAGATTGCATGCTCACTCCTTCAGTGTTGACTGCCGTTTTGACGGGCCGAGCAGAGGGTCTTTCTCACGAAGAGCCGACTCACAGAGTCCCCGGCTGGCAAACGCTGACAGTCGAGGTGTTGAGCAAGGGGCCCCTGCATTTTGTAGCAGTAGACTGGACCCTGAGTATTTGCACATTGTTACTGGTTATGCATTTACTGTACAGTAAACACGAGGGTTTACTTCGTAAATAATTGAGTATGTTAATACATAACCATTGTATGCAACGTTTCTGTTCTTCCTTTTCAACATGGCATTCCATGGCATTCCCCTAATATAATGTACATAACTACCGTATGAAAGGGACGTGTGGATAGGTGGCGAAAGCAGTTCACTAACACTGACGTGGAAAAGATTGACTTGAATGACACTGCTTCTTTCTCCATCTAACAGTGCTGTGAAGCTTTGGTCTGAGGTGGTTGATAGGTCGTGGTAATCGCCTTGTTTGCCCCGCGTACCTTCGCCTCGTCATAAGCCGTCTCCGCTTGAACATAGACCAGTTTAACAATGCTCACCAGCATCCAAAGCTCTCTTTTCGTTATCAGTAGAGGCGGCGCCAGCATGATGTGGTCGCCGACTAGTCCATCTGCTGTTCCACTCCCGGATAGTATGGCTACGCCGTGTTCGTGTGCAAGGCTCCTCATTTTATTGGCAAAGGCAAACATGGCATCTAGAGGCTGCTTTGAGTTTGTGTCTTCCACAAATTCAACCGCCCAAAACAACCCGCGGCCGCGAATATCCCCGACGTACTTTGATCCCTGGAGCGATTGCTTCAAAAGATTCTCCAGAAGCGCGCCGAGCTGCTTGCACCTGGAAAGCATGTCAACCCGCCTGACTATTTTCTGCACAGCCAGTGCTGCTGCGCAGCTGAGGGGGTGCGCTTGATACGTGTGGCCATGCACAAACCCGCCATTGCTTTCGATCGCGTCGTACACACGCCCCCGCACAAGTGTCGCCGCAATGGGAAGATAACCTCCCGAAAGCCCTTTGCCAATGGCAACCAGATCAGGCTGCACCTGTCCCTCTGCCTCGAAGGCAAAGTACGTTCCGGTGCGACCACTGCCGCACATGACTTCGTCCAGTATGAGTAAAAGGCCGTACTTGGTGCAAATGCGCCGTACGCCTTCAAAATAAGTCTTTGGCGGAGTAATGCACCCGGCCGTAGACCCGCCGACGGTCTCGGCAACAAAAGCAGCAACTCGGTGAGGACCGACCTTCAGAAATTCTGCCTCCAGTTCGCGGACGAGTCTAGCCGCATACTGCACCTCGGTCTTGTCGGCGTGCTGGCCGCGATAGGCATATGCGGCACTTACGTGGCTCACATCCAGCCGATTAAAGGCCGTCACGTACGGCGCTTTTCTTCCCAGGTGCGTGCTGATGCTCATCGCCCCAATGGTGTTTCCATGGTACGCTTGTTTCCTGGAGACAAAATGCGTTCGCCCGGGCTCGCCGTTGGCATTGTGATATGACGTGGCGAGCTTCATTGCGGACTCCATTGCTTCGCTGCCGGAGCCAACAAAATACGCTTTCGTCAAGCCCAGGGACTGGTCTTGAAGAAGAAACCTGGCCAAAGCCTCGGCCGCGTCGTTTGTGTGCATCATTGAGTGCGTGTAGGACACCTTGTTCATTTGCTCCACGATTGCCGTTCGGACGGCGCCGCTGCCGTGGTCGATGATGGAGACGCCGCAGGCATCAAGGACCCGGTGGCCGGTTTTCAAGGTCGAGAACATGCCGGCTGCATTTTCAACCAAGAGAGGCTGCTTTGCGGGCAGGGGATGCAACAGGTACGGTTCGTGCGCATTGCTAGAGTGCATCAGTTGGTTGCGCCCAGCTCCGCCGGGTTCCGTGGCTAGCTTCGTGCCGCTCGATGAAGGCATTGTTGGCGAAGCACTTTATCCTACCTAACCTGATCTGGGTGTTAAAGGGCGGACGAAACCGCGTCATTTATAGCTCCCTTCAAGGCAGCCTGTCTCAATGCATGGAAAGTGCCGTGTTGAAGGCGCAATCTCGGCGCAATCTCGGTACGCTGCTGATGCTGCTGATGCTGCTGTAGAAGTGTTTTTGTTGTAGAACTAAACAGGGGCTGGCAAATATGTACTTGCAACAGACAGTAGCGCAAGTGGTGATAACTACCCTGTGATTTTCATCACCATCGGCCTTGGCGGCGTTTAAGTATGAAGCAACGAATGCGTGATATACGACTCGCACACACGCGCACACACGCGCACACACGCCTACACACACATGTGCCAACCGCGCTTAATATAATAGCATCCACTGGTTCAAACAATTCCCGCGTGCGTTGAAATTGCGACACTCCTGTTTTTATGGGAGGAGCACTCTACACACTCTCCCGTACATGCAAATCTGAGATGTTGCAGTTTCGACGGCAGGAAGTCAAGGAAAGTGGTTGGCTGGCGGTCTTAGGCGCATGGTGCCATACATGGGCAAAATTGTAC